CACGCCGCCACGAAATTCCTCTAAAGTTCATTGTACGTTCCGCCTTTCCGCGAAGCCACGAGCTCGGTAATTTCAATTTCCACTCCACATGGTCTTCGCTGAACCAGGTTGACGTTGACAGATCAGCTTCGTATCAGTTGTTTTCGATGAGCGCGCGTTTTTCAACCCGTCGCGAACTTTCGCCTTGAACTTCCCCCGGGCGCCCGCGTGTTTATCTGCTCGTCGCGCATACCGCCATCTCGATTACATCTTGCTCTGATAAGACCATCAGTTGCAACGTGTCTCCCGTAGTGAATGAAAGTTTTGCCTCTTGTACCTGCCGAGACTGGAACGCCGGAACCATGAGCTCCGCTGGAAAGTACGGTAAGAATACGCCCGACCTAACCTCAAAAACTTCAAGAAATTAAATATTGCAGAAATTACCCATTCAATTTCTACCCGTGGCTTAGGACTTGCCATGTGAGATCTGTTAAAAAAGTTTGTGCAGTTGCTAAAAAATCAAGGCATTCTTGCACTTATTAATACGTTCTTTTTTCATCTTTGCATTATGCTGCTGTACTAAGGAGAAACGCCGTATGAGCCTTCAAACGTTGCCAAGTTTCCTCGAATAAAAACCAAATTTACTCGGAAAATTCTGACAAATATTTTCCAAAATTTTCAAGCAATTTTGTACGCAATTTAATCTAAAATATCCGAAAATTTCAAAGTAAAATATGCATGCATGTTGTCAAAAATAAATATGTTTTATCAAGGAAAGTTTGGCAACTCTCGAATGTTCATACGGCCTTCTTCCTTAGCACGGTAGTATGGTAGGAATTGACAGCCATTTACCACTCAAGGAGTATTTAAATCCTTTGAAAGGTGGGGGGAGGGGTCCTTAAGGGGTGGGTAACTGGTTGTGTCAGATTATCATCAGCATTGACCAATCACGTCAAATTTTTGGCCCCCCTCCTCCTATCCATGTAGCATTTCCCTCCGTTTCAGAATTGGCGCCAATTTCAAACATCTTAGAAATTTTGAGTATGAAAACAAGCAGAGGGCCTCATCCTAAAAAGTGTAAAATGTTTTTTTAGCATCTAGAATGTCAAAAATATGTCTAGTGGTTTCTAGCTGCTGGTTTGACTGTCATAGCCGTTAAGTTTGTAAAGTTAACTGCAAGAGCAGTTGATCCAGCATCCTGGGAGCTCCCGATAAATATTTGACATCCAGGATACTATTCTAGCATGTTACTTTTTTTTTATGCAGTAGCTGAGTTTTATAAAATGTATCTCAATATCGCTAAGATTATGCAACTTGTAATTTTTTTGCAAAATAAGGAGGAAATTCATTTAAAGTAATATCTTTTTGTAAATTGTTGAATTACTAAATCATACAATTTTTATTTACATTCACAATTTTTATCTTAATATTTAATTTAAATATTCATTTAAAAATTAAGGTGTAAAAAATCACATTATTCTTTCAATCATTCATGACGTAATCTAAATTATTATCATATCATAGATAATAAATTTAAAATCCCTCGAGGGTGTTTAAGTAAAGCATGTCTTTTTTATTTTACTGCAATGAATTCTTAGGTAGTTTCTATTTCTACTGTGCCAAGAACTACCATCTCAACTTTATGTGTATATTTTCTTTTCTAGCTGTTTTGAGTGTGTCTGACAAAACTGGCCTCATCGATTTGGCGAAAAAGTTAGCAGATCTTGGATTCAACTTAGTAGCATCTGGTGGAACGGCTAAAGCTGTTAGGGATGCATCGATTCCAGTGAGAGACGTTTCAGATTTAACGAAATGCAAAGAAATCTTGGGAGGCCGTGTCAAAACTTTACATCCAGCTATATTTGGAGGTAAATTTTTTTTGAGCTCAGCCGTTTAACTTGTTTCTTTCAAGCAACTTCATTGTAATTTATGTGAAGGGAGAAATCTAAAAAATCTGTAGGTATCAGAGAGTGTTGAGCATCAATGTTTCAAACCTAGCAGTGAGTCTTTAAATGAAATAATTCAAGGGAAATAATCAAAAAAGGAGGAAAGGAAATATTTTTTTTGAATGCTACGAAATGCTCTAACACCCGAAACAAAAGTATATAGTTGTCTCAAATTCAATTTAAATTGGTTCTTAACCCTCATTTTTAAGTAATTAAATGGATGAGAGCAGTTTCCAAAATTCATAATCTCCGTAAAAAACTTAGAGTGTTCTTTTTTTTTGGAGAAAATTCAAGAATGCATGAATTACATTAAAAATATGCAAAAATTTCTATTGGCACCTCAATTAAATTTTGTCCGCAAATTCGACCTAGATTGAACTTCAGACAACGAGCACATCAAACTTCTCTAACAGGTGTCAATTTTTTAGCACAAGTTTTTCACAAAGAATTAGCAGGAAATTTTAAGAATTACTTGAGAGGAAGAGTATGTCTTTAAATATATATATTAGTGGACATGTTCCGTGAATAAGTCTTATATGTATTTATTGGTGTAATTTCGAGAAATAAGCTCATCAGCCCAGGAAGGGAAATCATTGTTAAAGCAATAACTGATACTCAAGTAAAAGAAGCTCTTTAGTATGCTGTAGATGCAGGAAAATCTCCTGATACCTTTTGCTTCATCTTTTTAGGAATTTTAGCTAGAGGAACTGAAGCTGACAAGAAAGAGATTGCTGATATTGGTTATGAACTCATTAGCATTGTTGTCTGTAACTTGTACCCTTTTGAAAAAACTGTTGCGGATCCCAAAGTCACCGTTGAGAATGCCATTGAAAACATTGATATCGGTAAGAAAAATGTCTGTTTCATTTTTTCAATACGTTCACAGAAAAACATCAGTGTTGCCACAGTTAGAGAATACCGAGGGAAACCTGAAAATGTCAGGAAAAATAATGTATAAGTCATGGTAAAATTGTTAATTCACCTTTTACTTCCTCCTAGAATGGGTTTGGAGTTCTAAAAACAAAAAAATTTGCTTGCAAACTATTTCTAATTATGTCTTTTTATCCATATCACCTATCCTTAAAATTCAGGGAATTTTACCAAAATATGTCTGAGAATTTAAAAAAATTTCCGGGGATTTCATTTTATAATTTCTGTGGCACCCTTGAATGCACAAAATACTTAACAAAATAGAGTTCTGATTTTATCAAGATGTCCATGTGAGTATTAAAATGCACATGCATGAAGAAAACAATGTGTTTATTATTTTAAAAGTATTGATCAGTAGGTATCTTTTCTTCACTGAGTCATGCTGATTCAAACAAATATTTATTCCATGGAAAGATAGACTCTCTTTATCAGTCATTTTCTTGAAAAATATTTTCTTTGCTCGCTCTACTTTATAAATCAGTCCACCTATATATCAATAAGCCTATAAGCATGGATTGAATCTTATATCTATTTTGATCGTTCAACCGTCATTTCCCCTTTCAATCCCTCCCCCTTCATTCTTCACTCTTAATCTCCATGTGAAAACAATTAAGTGATATCCTATAATAGTTAGTTCACCAATCTTAATTGTACTTTTATTTTCATTTTCCTTATCTTCTCTTATCGTGAATGGTCTTGTTGCTCTATCAATCAGCAAGAATGTTAGGGCAAATTTATTCCTCTTAATGCTTTAAATAATTGTCAGTTGGCTTTTACAAATGTTCATCTCTGTCAGCTCAATTTTGGTTTATGTAATTTGCAGATGATGCAATTTGAACTGAAATGACCCCAAAACCTAAATTTCGCTTCTCCCTTATATAAGCGGACCCTTCTTTCCTTTTATCCCATGTTAGGTAACAGTAATTCCACGGTCGTTTCATGAAAATTGCATAACTACAGTATAATCACAGAAACTCATACTTAGGTTTTTAACATTGCAAATTTCTCATCAAATTCTACTCTCTTTTTTTAAGGGGGGTGAACCACAAAAACGAAAAACGCCAAAACGCCAAAAACGAACAATTTTTCTTACCTTTACGATCCGTGGATGGTCATTTTTTACGGCTGCGGCCACATCTTCTGTGTGAATAGAGTTTCATGCTAATAGCAAAATTCTGAGGAGAGGTGACAGCAGCCGCTAGAAACGATATCTGCGCATAGTAAAAATAAACTTTGATCCTCAAGGACATCCATCCATGGGGATCCATTGGGGCGACATCCATTTTCAAAGTTACTGATAGTGGCTCTGAATGTTTATTAATTGTTTGGTATTTTGGGAAGGAAGGCTTCATTGAAGACACCATGAACTAACTTGAACAGATTATTTAAATACATTTTCATTTGAGTCGCGAAGAAAACTTACACAAAAACGTTGGATTTTGCCGCAATTTAATTACGGACAGCTCTGGGATGATGACAATGTAGTACCATTGATGACTGAACACTCATCAAGAACTACAGCACTACTTTTCTACGCAATCATTCTCACACCCTTTTTCAAACAGCTTTAAGTGTCAAAATTTTGTCACCACATTTGAAGAGGCACTAAGTAAAGTTGCCTCCGTGAGCACTTCCTTGTTCCAGCTCAAACTAAAAGGGTTTTAGATTTCACCTTATATCAGGATTGTCAATAAAATGCTTGTTTTGGTCTAAACTTAGTAATTCCCACTTTAAAAAGCAGTGTAATTATATTCCATAGAATGATTCTCATATTCTAGCATTCTCTGTAGTGTGAGACCTAACTATAAAATAGCAAGTATATTTTGAATAAGTCCCAATTGGCAAAAGAGAAAAAATAAATAATTTACTCTCTTGTCTAAAGAAAATTGAACATGTTTCTGTCCACAGGTGGTGTCACATTGCTACGAGCTGCTGCCAAAAATAATGACCGCGTTTTAGTGGTTTGCGATCCTAGTGATTACAATTCTGTAATTGAAGAAATAAAAAAATCTCCAACCAAAGAAGCACCCATTGACTTTAGGTATTAATCATCTTTTTTAATTTTTTCAATCCACCCTAAATTGGTCCGTGAATCTCATTACTGGAGATAGTCTGTGAATTGTTCTATTTGTAGAATTGCATGGGAAAACCAAAAATTCCATTAAAAAATATACGTATAAAAAAACACTTCCAAGGGGAGGATTAGCTGATTAAAATATGACCAATCAGAAATCGACTGTTATAATGACTTGACTAGGCCTTGTCTTTGGTTGGGCCTCAGTGAACGAATGTGGACATCATGGCCTGTCTGTGTTATAAAAGACCGCCCAAAATATTGTTTCAAATGGGTCCAACTTTTGGCAACTTCAAAGTCAATTTTCTTTGTCATTTCAAAAAGGAAAAATCGGAATAAATTACTAGGAGCTCAACTCACTGAGTACTTAGCGATAATACATTAATTAATATTAATGCCTCTGACCCATTAAACTTTAAGATTCCAAATAGCGCACGTTACAAAGTGTCATTAAACAAAGTAATTTTCCTCAAATATAGTAGCTGAAAATGTAAAACCTCTGTTATTCTTAAACTTGATCTTTGATATTATCTACGACAGGAGGAAAATGGCACTGAAAGCATTTACCCACACAGCCAGCTATGATGGAGCAATCAGCGATTATTTCCGCAAAAACTTAACCGACCACGCATCTCAATTCAACCTGCGATACGGTACCAATCCACACCAACACCCTGCTCAAATGTACACCACACTGCCAGAACTTCCAATGAAAGGTAATCACAACCTAGATTATGATTTTTTCACTTGATGAAACATTTTATTGTCTCTTCTCAGTCTAAAAAATTAAAAGGAACATCTGAGTAGCAGAGAGTAATCCTCTATAGGAAAAATTCAACCTATTTGTATGTTTTACAAAAAGTGTCATCTCAACTGTGTGAAGATTCCGAGTGTCATAAAATTTCTTGCCCTACTCTTTGCAGGGGACCCAGCATTCACGGATCCAAAGACCTAATTTTAAGCACTAGTTATGTGCATAGCCGATAGCGTTGCAGCAATCTAACTCTAGTTGACAGTAAAGTCGTTAACTGCAAACATTGAACTGCCACATGGTTTAGTTTGATAAAGCGTTTTTGTCTGAAAATGCATTTTAAAGTTAAATGTTTGTGGAAAGTCACTTTTTTCGATCCTTTTAATGCCACCAAGCAAGGCTCAACCATTTTGATTCTACTTTTACCCAAACTGGAAAAGAAATACTAACCTTGAGATTTATGAACCACAAACAGTAAATTCTGAATTTGATTTTCAGTGAAAAACGGAAGTCCTGGCTACATCAACTTATGCGATGCCCTGAATGGGTGGCAACTAGTCAAAGAATTGAAGGAAGCGCTTTCACTCCCAGCAGCTACTTCATTCAAACATGTCAGTCCTGCCGGTGCCGCTATTGGTGTTCCTTTAACAGACTTGGAGGTAAACATACAAGGAAAATCATGATTTCGATGCTTCCTTTGTTTTTTCAATCAGCTCAGTTTCTACTACAATGAGCTCATTAAGTAGGTTGCAACCATTGCATTTTGAGAAGCAGAAAATGCACTTAGTTCACAGAAATTTTCCTTGATTATTTTGATAGACATTGACCCACAAGAAAAAAGTTTGATGTTGCATAATTTAAGCTCCAATCTAAACACCTAATGAACTAACATTTGCTTAACTAGCCGCGAATATGATTCCATCAAAAATTCTAAGTCATAGGAAGTTACCTTGACAGGCTCTGAACTTACATTAGTACATATTTAACCTTATGATTGAATCTTATGAAAGATTAAACTTGAAACCTCTTTTTTCTTGGTTTGATCTTGATGTTACTTTCTACCATTCCGTTAAACTAGGTTAGTTTTATATTAGACAGAAATACCTAAAATCAATGAATGAAGTTTGATGTGGGGGAAATGCAACACTTGAAACTATCACAAAAATAGAAGAATCTACATTCAAGTCGACGCAACAGTATAAATCGGCAACCACATATCTTGGTTTCCGACGTTGCAGATTTTCTGTCATACTTTATTTTTTATATAGAAAACCACTCAACAGCAATTCTTAAAACTGCCGTATCAATTCTACAAAAACTTCAAGGATTGATATCTATTTGTTCTCCTTTAAAAAAATTACATAGAAGCGGAAATTTTCAAACACCGCAAACGATGTACATAGTTGCAAAATTACAATATTGATATATGTATAGTCCAATAAGTAATATTTTCTGATAGTTTCAAAATTCTGCAACTGTTTTTTCATACGAAATCGTGACTTTTACGTGATTTTTACCCTATTCCTGTACTGGTATCGTCAGACTTAAATTGTTTTTTTCTTTCAGGCCAAGTCTTACATGCTGAATGAGAAACCTGAAACACTAACTCCTTTAGCTAATGCATATGCCCGAGCCAGAGGTGCGGATAGAATGTCGTCTTTCGGTGACTTTATTGCTTTGTCTGATGTCTGTGATCTAGCTACTGCTAAAATTATTTCAAGAGAGGTTCGTTTCATCAAATTTTTTAATTTTTACTTTTGTCAAAAGACGCCAGAAGTTTTATATTTTCATCTTTTTTCTTGTGTTAAATTGACAATTTCAACCAGAATTAGTCTAACTACAACAAACGTGGCCTATGATGTTTCATTTTTTAAACAGAAAACTAAGCAACACTGAAACTTGTAATTTCGTTGGTATATTCCTCATTATCTGGGGTAAATTTCCAGGAAGTTCTAAGGCGTTAAATAGTTTAGTTCTCTGTTAAACGAAAGGGGGAGGGGGGGTGGACAAAAGAAAACCAGGCACATTAAATGCAGTTGGACTAGTTCTGGTTAAATCCGTCTGAAAGATACTATGATCTTTGAACTTGAAGTAAATATTCATCACTGAATTACTGTATTGTTCATCGAATGACGGTAATTCCTCGATTTTCACCAAAACAAATTTATAGGAATTAAAGCTTGTTCACCGGAGTTTTACAGAGCAAGTTTTGCTGATGTTTATTCGACAGACCCATAGAGGCATGGTTTACTTGTTACTTTCGAAGGAGAAAAACAGCCTTAACATTGCCGATGATGACTGTAAAGAAAATTATTTTTTAAAATTTGAAAGAGTATTCTTAAGATATTTTCCAAGCATCTTAGGATGTAATAAAGGAAAACTATTTCAGGATTTTAGGAACTTGGCTGTAAATTTGTTCTTTCCTGACTTGAGTATTTCTTCTTTTACAGGTCTCCGATGGAGTCATTGCACCTGGTTATACCCAAGAAGCCTTCAACTTGTTGAAAGCGAAAAAGAATGGCAGTTATTGTATGTTGGAAATAGATCCCAATTATGAACCATCTGAGAAGGAAGTAAAAACTGTATTCGGCCTCACCCTAGAGCAAAAGCGGAACACGGCCAAAATTGATAGCAGTCTGTTTGCTAACGTTGTGACAAAAAATAACAAGGTACCTGTACATTTTTCGTAATTGTTTCTCTACCGCATCTTGATGAGTAGAAATAGGCGCATTGTCAATGTCAAAATCCTTTTTTTATTCAGCTCATCAATTTGCTCTGAAAATCTGAAGTCAACCCGACTGCATTTTTTTTTTTTTTTGTCCATAGTTAAAGAAATTTTATTCCTCCCTTAAGCTCTCGCAAGCAATACCTTGACTATAAAGGATCCACACCAATTTTTTTTACTTGTTTGTTAAAATTTTGTTACATTTATTTGATGTTAAATTTTGTTCCATTAAATTATTTGACGAGTGTTAAGCTCATAAATTTGTATGAATTTCATGAGGCTGTTGCATTAATAAATATATTATTATTATTATTAAATAAGTTTACGCCTTTTAGACTGCAACCAAAGATCGTCTGATGTCAGTCTAGCATCAGAAGTAAATTCATGAATCAAATTGGAGGATCTTCTGTGATATTGTAAAAGTGTGTAAACCTATTTGGTGTGGACTCTAATTTTCTTTTTTTGGCTGGGGGTGGGGAGGGAGAGGCAGTTGAATCGATGAATTTAAATTCCACTTGATGAAGGGTTTGAAAATTTTCTTTTTTTGGGGAGACATTTCAGGTTACATTGCCTGCACGTATGTAAAAATATTCTTTAAATCATTGCATTACCTGTGCCTGAGCAGAATCAGTAACTTAGAAATATGTTCTTATGCAAAAATTTAGTGAGAAGCACATAAATTGTTCTGGTTTAGTTGATGTCACCTCTAAAACTAACAACAGTTGCCATTTGTATCAGAATTTTATGGTTCAAGTATGCGGAAGTTATATTTTTTAAACTAGGTTTGTGCACAAGCTGTCACATCTACATAAACTTGAAGTTTATGTAAAGTGAGATGATTTTTTTCTTGTCATTCCAATTCTTAATTTCATATTCTTAATTCAATTTTTTGTTCCAGCTTTCGCAGGAAGCCCTTAGAGATTTGATTGTAGCCACTATCACGGTAAAATACACGCAGAGTAATTCAGTATGCTTTGCCTTGAACGGTCAAGCCATTGGTATTGGAGCGGGACAGCAGTCTCGAATCCACTGCACAAGACTAGCTGCAGACAAGGCTGAAAATTGGTGAGTTCTGATTTTGATCAACAAGGTCACAATCAAAACGAACTTTTTATTTAAATTTGAAGCATTTTTTAATGATGAAAACTACGCATACCTGCTGAATAGCCTCGATCATATCCCGTGGAAATGGAATTGGTTTAAAAAATCATTATTCGAGGACAGTTATTTGTGATTTTGTTTCCAGCAAACATAATCAAATTTTAAGTTTCTCATTTTTCTCACAGTTTAAGCTAGCAGAAATGCCAGTTTTTTCTGAAAAAATCGCAGCTTTCTAAAAGGAGCATTCGTGATGATGAAGTATTTATTTGTAATGGAAATTTTTTCTCACCAATCAAGGTTTATCTATTTCTCAGGAAAGTTTAAAAAAGGGGATGGAAAAGAGATCGTTTTTTAATTAATGGGTGTTTAAAGTGTTGTAGTTTCTGATTTGAGCTAAATTCACGTTAGAAATTTTTTGGTTCACAGGTGGCTCCGCCAGCACCCATACGTAATTAACATGGCCTTCAGATCAGCTGCCACTCGTCCCGAAAAATCTAATGCAATTGACAATTACATTTGTGGTAACGTAGGTGAGTACTGCAATTTTTTTTAACTTTCAGTTAAATTTAAATCAGCTAGCTGTATTCTAAAATCAGAGAGTGGAGATATTAACTGATCCAAAAAATGTGACCGTGATTAGATACAGTATAAAATGTCGCAGTGAATGATGAAATATAAAAATCAAAATGATGTTTTGAGTATTATGATTGCAGAAATCTTGAGAGGAGTATAAGCTCAATTTTAAGATTGTAAATATTTTACTAGCAATTCAAATGATTGAGAAAGTAACGGAATGATTGCAAAATGCAGGGCCCACACTGTTTCGTGGGGAATTCAAAACTAAAAATTAGAGTTAGAGGAAGAAAATGCACTTAAACAAATTAAAAGTACAGAATAAAAGAGGGTACATCAGGTGTGTTTGTTATTTAGATTGATAAAATTATACAATTTAATGACAGATTGTAAACATAAGTGTAATTAAATTCTGGGTGTTTTTCAGGGCGAGAAATTGACCATGAGTCCTGGGTTAAATCGTTCGAAAAAGAACCTCCCAAGTTAACCGCAGAGGAAAGGAAATCTTGGGTCGATAAGATGAAGGATGTTGCCCTCTCCTCTGACGCATTCTTCCCCTTCCGTGATAGTATTGACCGCGCACGAATGGTAAGTATCTGATTTGGTGTTAACAGTGTTAAGTTACAGAAGATTCTATAAATTGACAGTTTCTGCCTAGTCTCCTTAAAAATTGACGGAGAAAAATGTTGGCAATGAAGTTTTTCTATGTCAGGCACAACTTTTTTGTCAGCTTCTAATTGCCAAAATAAAGTGTACCCTTTTTTGTCAGCAAAGTTGGTTTATAGAGGAAGCTAAATTTTTAGCTTTCTAAAAGCTGACTGTTAAATTTTTGTATTAACGTTCTTTCCTTACCTGAAAAATAAATCAAATCTGATTGAAGAAAATTTTGAAGAACTTATTTCGTTGTTCAAGATGGATTCTTTTTGTTTTTGTTCCAACAGCAGATTTCTATGATAGGCCTCTAGACAAGGTCTGAACTTAATACCTTTCCAAAAGAATTTTTCTCAAAATTTTACGTGGAAAACTAATCACAAAGCGGGAAATCTGAAAATCAATTTTTAAACAAGAGATGAGAAGGCCAGAAGTGTAGAAAATTCCAAGACTCTGGCCGCCAGCTGTAATGGATCCCTATAATTATGCCAGCTTTTCCCAATTTTCTGCAAAAGGAAAATTTTCCAAAAGTTCTGCTGAAATTCCCTGATTTCCCATAGATTTCTGCCAAAATACGCCATTTTTGGAATTTTAATTATGTGGAGTTCGTTATTTTTCACATTCCTATCCCTGCAGGGGAAAACTCAAGCCACATTGTGTACCCTTTTCTTAGGATGGGTTTTTTTGTTTTGTTTTTCTCTCTCTTTTTTTTTTTGCTGTATTCCTTATAGCGTCTTCTTCCATTTGACGTGCAACTTTTTTTATTCATTACAAATTCAAATTTTAATGATTAATTTATTCACTTTAGTAATTACAATTTTAAGGTAAAAAACGAAGTATTAAAGAAATAAGCACATTGGAATTTAGATTTTCAATGAATCAAACAAATCACATGTCAAATGAAAGGAGACTTCCTCAAGTTGCTTAATGTCCCGCCTGCATGCTGTAATCAACATGCCAGAAGTTTAAGCACTTTCCTCACTTCTCTCAGATTCTACCTCACCTAATTACTATTTTTTTTATTTCAGAGCGGCGTATCGTACGTTGTAAGTCCCAGTGGGTCCAACAACGACAAATTGGTCATCGAGGCATGTGATGAGCACAACATTCTTCTGGCTCATACGAATCTTAGATTATTCCACCACTAAAGAAACATTCCATCGTTAGGCATTTATCAATTTATGTTGTTCTGTCATGCCTTAGTCCCTCTTGAGGATCTCACTTTCCCCTTTTTACCATTGTAATTTTATAATGTTAATCGTACTTTAAACTTTTTTAAGCTCTCATGAGCTGAATTTTCATCATTGTTTTTAAATTAATATTTTTTTTAGAATTTTTTTGTCAAAGTGTTATTTCTAAATGTTCCGCTAGATTTTTGTTGCTGATGATAATTCATTTTTAAAATACTCAAGTAAATTCATTTTTATATAAGCAACTGTTTCATCTTTTCTCTCTTTCCTACACTGCCGTGCCAAGGAAAACCCCAAGGAAAAGTATGAACCTTCAGGCGTTGCCAAATTTCCTTTGATAACACAGGAATTTTCTGGTAAACTTATAAATGTTTCTCTCCCAATTTTTCTGATAATTTTGTTTGCAATTTGTCTGAAGTTCCTGAAAATTTTAAGGAAAAATATTCATAACTTTTCTCAGAAATAAACATTTTAACAAAGGAAATTTGGCAACTCTTGAATGTTCATACGGCGTTCTATCTTACAAGGGGAGGCTACCGATTGTCCACCTTAGATCGGGTTCAAATTTGGCAGAGAGGTAGAATAGATTAATATAAGAACCCGTATTTTTTTTTAGGTGCCAATGCCCAGCCGTTTTTGAGTTATGAATTTTTGAAGTTGCCGTTTTTTCGTGTCAGCGACGCGCTCAATTTGAGCCTACTGTGCGCGCACCTTTTAATGCAATCCGAATGTCGTGGCGGTCATACGAGACAGTTGTCCAAGCGGTAGAGCGCTCGCCTGTGGTGCTGCAGGCTAGGAGGTCGATACTTATTTCGTTAATTTAATTTTAAAATTGATTATTTTGTTTTTTAATCGCTTCATCACAAGAAATTGTAAGTCACCTTGTAGACGTTATGATTCTAATTATTTTTTATGTATATTTTATATTTTATTTTTTTTTTTTAATGAGTGTTTGACAATAAAGGAAAAAAACATAATTAGCATCACAACGTCTACAAGGTGACTTACAATTTCTTGTGATGAAGCGATTAAAAAACAAAATAATCAATTTTAAAAATTAAATTAACGGAACAAGTATCGAACTCCGAGCCTGCAGCACCACAGGCGAGCGCGCTACCGCTTGGAGAAGTGTCTCGCATGACCACCAAGACATTCGGATCGCATTAAAAGGTGCGCGCACAGTAGGCTCAAATTGAGCGCGTCGCTGACACGAAAAAACGGCAACTTCAAAAATTCATAACTCAAAAACGGCTGGGCATTGGCACCTAAAAAAAAAATACGGGTTCTTATATTAACCTATTCTACCTCTCTGCCAAATTTGAACCCGATCTGAGGTGGACAATCGGTAGCCTCCCCTTGTTAGCATGGCAGTACAGATCAAGAACACAGTGGAACAGTTTCATGAACTATAAAATGTAACTATCCATGTGTTTGTGTCGTGAAAACCTGGGCTGGCAGGTGGTTTAATCGAAACTGTGAGTTCAAAGTCAAAGTTTTGTTGCCTTGCATATCTCTGTCAGTTGGTTGTCAGCTCGTTAAACTAATTCCAAGACAACTGCTTATTTTCGTCAGCTTTGAAAACTACGATACTTATTGGTAAAGGTCTTCATAACTACAATTTAATGGAACTGTTTCGATAACCTATCAAAAACCAAAAGTACATTTCTACTAGGATGCAGTCTTTAGGGTGTATGATTATGCACCTGTAGTTTCATTTGTATAGACATTTTTTCAAAATATTTCTCGGTAATATTTTGTTCCTGAGTTTTTCTGTTCCTCTAAAAAGTAAAATCATGAAATGAAAATAATTTATAGGTTGGTAAGTAAGTACTCAACGTATTTATTTATCTCTATCATTACAATAAATTAACCTTAACTAAAATGTACAATAATCTTTATGCATACTAAGTTCAATTTTGAATCCTGTGACTAGAATCATTATTAGTTCAATGAGAGCAATTTGTATGAATTCTTTGAGTAGTTCAATACAAATCAATGCATGGTTGAAGTGGGAAAATGGGTACCTATCTCCTACTGAAATTTCATATGAATTTTCTATTTTTACTAAAATAAATACAGAAAATTAAGGGGAGATATCTTGTTAATTTACAATAAAACATAATCGGAGATATTTGAACATCGGAATGGAAGTATAAGCATCTTTTGACTTGAGCTATCGATATTTTTAAAAAAACACTCTCACTCACTTTTTGCACCCAAAATTTTTCAAAGAACCATGCATCAAACCATCCCTAAATGATTCCAGTCACCAACTAGCCTTAATTGCTTTTTATTGTTGAATCACAGACATTTTTACAGAAAATAAGGACAATAAAAGAGTAACAGCATTACCTACCTATATCTATTGCACTTGAAAGTATGAAAGTTTAGTGAAAAGTTTACAATGTGATACCATATACAATGATGATATGTACAAATTGATCAATCATCAGGTCCATCAGCCCTCGAAGAGTGAACAGAATAATGAAGATTAAGGAATCTTATTATCATCCTTCATCCCTTAGGAATTAAGTGAAAAAGTAAATCTGATGTGTCACTACAAGTTCTCCAAAGCTTTGTTAAAAAGCAGACGGCTAATCTTTCTCAACAAAGAGGATCTAAAATAATTAGGATCGTATTCACAAAATATGAACCTTAAAATACATCAATAGAGGATAAAACAAAATCTCCCAAGTAGAAACCTACTCGCGGTTGTGTCGCGGAAAACTCGTAAGAGTGTTTAAATCTGATTAAAATTAAAAGACTCAAGTCCTCAAAGGGCAATAAATAAAAGACAAGTCATTCCGTTCCAAATATATGTAAATCAAGGTGAAACACAATAGCTGACTGACACAGCGCAACGATTTACATATATGTCAACGCCTTAATGCAACTATTCGTGTTCTGGGGATGCCCGGGTTGCGTTCACCAAAATTGAAGGCGCTACGGCAATGGACGCGGCGTATTTTGCGAGTCGCTGCGTTGGCGCGATATGTTTTCCAAGTTGTGGGGTGCCGAACGGTCCTTCGTCCATTGTTCAGGCATACCTACTTTTTGGGGACATTCATTTTCTCAGGGAATTCCCGATTTCCACAAAAATTATTTCCTATTGACTTACGGATCGGGAAAGAACGGTGACCATTTTCGTATCCAATAAAAGTAATAATCGCCCACTAGAGAGGGAACACATTATTTTCGAACCTGTACATTTAAGCCATCGCAAACAGCAGTGATGCAACTCAGTCACAAATCATCAGTAGGAATAACCAAGGAAATTCCGGCTCTTTGGCTCAGGGTCGTATTCACAGTAGTAAGTAAATAGAACAGTCTCTTTCCTTAAAGATGATATGTCGACGGTGAGACTTTCAGACCACGTATCTCGGTTTGCAAAAGAACGTCATACATGGAGAAAAAAAGGAGGTTTCTGCATTTCGGGCGAGATGCGAAGAGATTGATGACGTAAGTGGGGAAAATTCACATTTTTGTCATTTATTAATTTTCTTTGCAAAAGGTGTGGTTTATGAAAGAAATTCTTATTAAAAAGATTTTTTAAGTATTATTTTACGATGACTAAAGCCAAACTCACTTCCAAACTTTGAATTTCGGATCTTGCAAGAACATTAACGTCATATTTTATTCACCTTCGTTACGCTGTAACGAATCAGAAACTGCACTGTTAAAAATTTCGGAGTAAAATTACGTGCTGGAGTCTGTATAGCACCCCAAAACCCTGAGTTACATGAATGTAAAGCGGAATCTACGGAGTGACTTCCACTATTAAGGAGCGGAATCTACTCTTTTTGCGGAGTGACATTCGCATTTATGGTGCAAATTTCCTTTTCGCATACATATATCACTCTGGGTTTTCGGGCGCTGTACAGGGTGTCCTAGGATTAGTGCATCAGACTTCAGGGATCGATTTTTTGGGTCAAAATAAGACCTTTTCTTCTATCAATTTTTCCTCCTGAAAATGCTTCTTTTCTGCGCCACTACACGAATTTGCGCCATTTCCACAATTTCGCGCGATTAAAAAAATCCGCACGGATTTTTCCCCGAAATGAATACTTACCCATAACTTTGACGCCATACGTCAAATGCCAACGACAATTGTGCCCGTCTTTCCATAAAATCGTCACAAAAAATGAAAAGAACGCTAGATATTACCGCTAGGAGACAATTTTCATCGGCATTTAACGTTTGGCACCAGAGTTACGGGCAAATTTCGGGAAAATTCTCAACTTTAATGAGCTATAGCGTTGGGAAAAAGGATTTTCAAAAAAAAAAAAACTCTACAGAACAATTAAATCTTATTTTGACCCAAAAAATCGATCCTTGAAATGTAGCGCATTAACCCTGGGACACCCTAGGGTGCGTCAAAAAAAATGAAAGTCTGAAATGTTCCGCTCCCCAGGCGGCAATCGATGACGTTTAGTAAAAAAACATGTTTGCCAAAATTTGGGCCAATTTCAACCATTTTAAATGGTGCCAAAGGTCAATTTTGTGATGAAATGATGATATTTTGGTTTAGACCTCGATTTCGTACAAAAAACTCGATTTTACGCTAAAATCGTGCGTTTACGAGAAAAATGTCAAAGAACTCGACTTGTAGAGGATGAAATTTTACACTAAAAGGACGTCTTTGTAACCGATAAAAATCAAATTGAACTAGAAAAACTCAACTCGGTATTTATTTTTTTGGTCCTCAGAATTTCCGAGGTCTTACTAAGTAGAGGTTTAAAAGACTCGTTTTTCACGAAAATAAGTCGAAATAGGGTATAAATGAACTGTAGGCAAGTGTTGAGGATGCAAATGTCATCAGAACTTCCTCAGTTTCAAAAAAAGTTCCAACTATTTTGCACAATCCTCCAAAAAGTGCACGACTCGAGAAGCAGGATCGTGCTATAATAGTAGGGGGAAAGTGCGGTTTGACCGGGAAAAATTGCGTAACAAACTTTCCCTATGTAATCGTCATCAGTAGGTCCCCCTGAACAACTTCCTAAAAGGTAAAAATGGCCCGACCCCGGAATATCCCTCAAAAAAGTTAAAATTGAAAATGGCGGCCGTAATAAGAGGGTCCGGGAAATCGGTATTTTAAAATTCTCATTCTGTCTCATCATGTGAGGTATCATTTCCTATGTAATTTTGGTCGTAGATTTTATAAATAAATTCCACATGGCCCCTTCTGAGCTTACGTTTCTCTCGGTAGTCGTATGTTTCCTTTAATTTCCTTTATGAAATACATTTATAACATCAAATTTAAGTTTCTTGGCCATAAATACATGAAAATAAAGACACTTCACTTTCCTTGTTCCTTCGGTGAATATTTAAAAAAATGCAACCTCCTGCCTTTCACATTTGGCCGCCATCTTTGATTTGGAGCGCCCCCTTTGGCCGGAGGGCCTTGCGGAATTTATTTATAAAATCTACGACCAAAATTACATAGGAAATGATACCTCACATGATGAGACAGAGTGAGAATTTTAAAATACCGATTTCCCGGACCCTCTTATTACGGCCGCCATTTTCAATTTTAACTTTTTTGAGGGATATTCCGGGGTCGGGCCATTTTTACCTTTTAGGAAGTTGTTCAGGGGGACCTACTGATGACGATTACATAGGGAAAGTTTGTTACGCAATTTTTCCCGGTCAAACCGCACTTTCCCCCTACTATTATAGCACGATCCTGCTTCTCGAGTCGTGCACTTTTTGGAGGATTGTGCAAAATAGTTGGAACTTTTTTTGAAACTGAGGAAGTTCTGATGACATTTGCATCCTCAACACTTGCCTACAGTTCATTTATACCCTATTTCGACTTATTTTCGTGAAAAACGAGTCTTTTAAACCTCTACTTAGTAAGACCTCGGAAATTCTGAGGACCAAAAAAATAAATACCGAGTTGAGTTTTTCTAGTTCAATTTGATTTTTATCGGTTACAAAGACGTCCTTTTAGTGTAAAATTTCATCCTCTACAAGTCGAGTTCTTTGACATTTTTCTCGTAAACGCACGATTTTAGCGTAAAATCGAGTTTTTTGTACGAAATCGAGGTCTAAACCAAAATATCATCATTTCATCACAAAATTGACCTTTGGCACCATTTAAAATGGTTGAAATTGGCCCAAATTTTGGCAAACATGTTTTTTTACTAAACGTCATCGATTGCCGCCTGGGGAGCGGAACATTTCAGACTTTCATTTTTTTTGACGCACCCTAGGGACACCCGTATAACCTCCGGCAGAATTTCACTCCTCAATTCTAACAGTCTCCAACCTCCTTTCCCCCTCTACGAGTGACATCAATCAATCAAACCGAACCTACGATCGGCCTTCCCATGTTTCTCGCCCTTCGTCTTGGGCCGATCCGAGACCGGGGTCTGACTCCCGAACGACTTCCGCACCCCCGTCTTGAACCTATGCTTCTTCGCGACCTTCTTCAACTTCTTGCGGATATGCTCCCAGTGCTGCTTGCTCAGCGGCCGGAACCCAGCTGGTCCCTTGTGGTTCCCCTTCCCTTTCCCATGGTGATGATGATGCCCATGCCCATGATGATGATGATGCCCGTGATGATGATGATGCCCATGACCGTGATGATGGTGATGCTTGTGGTTCGGATAGCGGTGCTTCGACTTGTACTTGCGCTTCTTCCAGCGCCGCTTCCCGCGCGGGCCCGTGGGCGGGAAGACGGGGACGGGCACCGGTTTGATGATGGTCTTGACGGGGCGGTGGCTGGAGGCGACCGGGACGGAGGCCTCGACGGGGAGGTCAATGTCACCGGGGCCGGTGAAGTAGGAGGCCGGGTAGGAGCCAGCGGAGGCCAGGGAGGGCGGGTAGGAGTGGGCGCCGTGGAGGTACTTGCGGCAGCGGCAGGAGACGATGATCTTGAGGGAGTACTGGCGGAGGCTCCCGTCGTTGCAGAGGAGGTTGATGCGCTTCTTCCCGGTCTCGCCTGACTCGCAGGACCACTTCGAGGAGGGCTTCGGGCCGATCTGGGAACAGGTGGAATGCGTGGCTTAGTAATGTATCGTTACGAGACATGGACCACATTGTAGTACGGCCCCTCAAAATTTAAAAAGTTCTCAAATGGAAATGTTGCATGTGTGAGGGATTTGCGATTTGACCTTTGACTCTTATGTAAAAGTTCGCGAGAAACACGATAGTGTATCTAAACTTTGAGATGAGCCCAGAAAAACATTGAATTGTATGGATGGCAGGGTTGCGATTTGACCATTCATCCTTTTGTAAAAGTTCGCGAGAAACACGATGGTACCACTGGTTTTCTCTGAAATCATCTCCCAAGCTCAAAAAAAGCTCTCAAGTTGAGGCCAAAATGGAGGGGATATCCCACCCTATCCTGAGAGTCCACCTCTACATCAAAACAAACTCTCCATGCAAAGATAGGGAGCAAATACATTAGCAGGGTTGCCGTGTTTTCAGTTTTGGAGTCCCCAAATAAAATGGCAGCATTGTCAATGTATTTGCTCCCTATCTTTGCATGGAGAGTTTGTCTTGATGTAGAGGTGGACTCTCAGGGTAGGGTGGGATATCCCCTCCATTTTGGCCTCACTTTGAGAGCTTTTTTTGAGCTTGGGAGATGATTTCAGAGAAAACCAGTGGTACCATCGTGTTTCTCGCGAACTTTTACAAAAGGATGAATGGTCAAATCGCAAATCCCTCACACATGCAACATCTCCATCGTTGCAAAGCGGAGAGTACGGATTCGATCGACATGAAGAGATCGCAATATGAAAACGTGAATCGATCGACATATTGTTAAAAAACCGGTGTCGATTCGATGGACAAGAATCGATCGAAAAACTATAACTTGAACCGATCGACGTGATTTGATCGACTCCGATTCGATCGACAACCGTGAATCTATCGAATGACCCGTGAATCGATCGACAAACCCGTGAGTCGACTGACAAATCCATGAATCGATCGACAAACCCGTGAGTCGATCGAATCACGGGTGTGTCGATCGAGTCACGGATTTGTCGATCGCTTCACGTTTTTGTTTTCGATCGATTTATGTCCATCGAATCGACAACGGGTTTTTAATAATTTGCGTCGATCGATTCACGTTTTAATTTTGCGATAGATTCATGTCGATCGAATGCGGCGTTCCTCCTTAACACGGCGGTATGCGAATGATGGTCATTATTTTTACTCGTGCGTTCAAGTCCTCCCTTCCTCCCCGTTAACATGCGAGCGTTTTAAAATTCGTACTAACAAAGGAAATTTTGCAACGCCTGAGGGCGTTCTTCCCCAGCAGGACAGTATTGGCAGTATGCGAATCATGGTTAGTTTTCTACTCATGCGTTTAAGTCTTCTTTTTGACACTCGGGAGATGTAGAGATCGTGATGATTTGATAAAAAGTGGCGATGGGTAAGAAACGCCTTCATCGTGAAATGATACTTCCTAGCGTGGCCGCGGAGGCCGAATAGTTGTATCACTTGAAAATCCAATCAACAGTGTAGCAGCGTGAATTAGTGAGTAAAGGCGATCGCTTCGGATGATTATTTGGACTACATTTTGCACTTTGAAACTATAAATTCCAGCCCGGTTTAAAAAGAACGTATTTGCCATTAGATTCCCTATGCACATAAGTGTTTTTGCAGAAGAGCCAGAATTTATAGTTCCAAATTGCAAAATGCAGTCCATTTGATAAAGAATGGCGACGCGTAAGAAACGCCTTCATCGTGAAATGATACTTCCAAGCGTGGCCGTAGAGGCCGAATAATTGTATCATTTGAAAGCCCAATCAATAGTGTAGCATCGTGAAGTAGTGAGTAAAGGCGATCACTTCGGCGGATGATCATTTGATTTAACGACCCCTTGAGCCTGATTGGAGTCCAGCAGGCTGATTATTGACATCGATAGACAAAGTTATGGACAAAGGAGAAGACGGGCAAATGGAGCAATCCAGTTGCTTAAAACGGGTCGTTGTCATAAACTAAGGGATGAAATGATGGATTAAGTATAGAGTCCCTCGTGGGTTGCCGTTAGTTAGTTCAGTATTTACTTCCTTTGTTCATTCCAGCCACTTGGTTCCACCAAAAGTATCGCTCCACATTTCCTCTTTGGGGCCGTTCAAGTATTACGTAACACACTGTACCCGATTTTTGGACCAAACCTTCCCCCTTGTACTGCACCCGTAACGCAACTCTATACCCCCCTTCTTGAATTGGACGTAATTTTATCAAACGGAACTATGTGCATTAAGACATGAGCCCTGAGACCCTTTAGAATACACGCATAACAGGGCTCACGTCATAATGCACATAGTTCCGTTTGATAGAAATACGTCCAATTATGTAACGCTGGCCTGAAGCACCCCACCCCCACCCAAATTTTCAAAAAATCAAGAAGACGCAGAAAAAACAACTTGAAATTTGGTCGGTATTTTGAATTTTTGGCACGTTTTTTTCAAAAAAATTTTCTTTCCTCTGGCCCGAATTTGTTACGTGACGCTAGGCTTTAACCCCTTCCCCCTTGTAACGCACCGTAACGCAAGCTAAAACCCCCCTTTCCTCTGGGTGCGTTAGGTCATACTCGATACCCTTTGTCTATTGCTTTGTCTATTACTGCCGTGATGAAGAAAAACGCCGTATGAACATTTGGGAGTTGTCAAATTTCCTCGAATAAAGCATGAATTTTTGAAAAAAGTCATTTTCATTTTTCCTCGAAATTTTCAGATAATTTAGATTAGATTGGGAACAAAATTGTCTGAAAAATTGGAGGAAAAATATTCAAAAATGGAGATGTTGCAAGTGTGACAAGGCTGCCACTTTAATTGGGGACTCCAAAACTGAAATCACGGCAACCCTGCTAATGTATTTGCTCCCTAGCTTTGCATGGAGAGTTTGTCTTGATGCAGGTAGGGTGGGATATCCCCTCCATTTTGGCCTCAACTTGAGAGCTTTTTACGAGCTTGGGAGTTGATTTCAGAGGAAACCAGTGGCACCATCGTGTTTCTCGCTAACTTTTACATGAGAATCAACAGTCAAATCGCAAATTCCTCACACATGCAATATCTCCATTTTCTGAAAAATATTTAAAAATTTCCCAGTTTTGTTTGCTGTTGAAGGAGATATGGCAACGCCTGAATGATCATGGGGTGTTCTTGCTTGGCACGGCAGATTAGCCCGCTGTAATAATAGTTAGCTTTGGGACTCACCTCGGCCATCTCAAAATCCTCGATATAGTCCTGTCGGTCGGTCTTGTCCGGCTTGGCGGGGGACGAGCGGGTGCGTCTCTTGGAGTTCTTGCGCCTGAGCCATCCGGCGTACTGGACGCTCCGGGGCGGCTCGTCCACGTACTCGTCCTCCGGCGGCTCCGGGAGCTCGTTGAACATGTAGGAGGGCATCGTGCAGCTGTCCGCGCAGACCGCCTCCGTGATCGGCTGCGGCGAGGTGCACTGCCCGTCCGAGATGTACCGCCGCGACCTCAGCCGGCAGTCCCGGTGCGTCGACGTGATCTCTATCCCCAAAGCAACAAGGATAAGTATATACAACCCAGTACAAAAAACATAGAACAACATAGAGAAACAACATAGTACATCAGGGTGTCAACACGGAGAAAAAAAATCCGTGCGTGGGACCCGAAGTTTAAGTCGTATGGATCTCTGAAGTTTTCGGATTGAGCATCCGAACACTTAAGGTTCAACTGCTGAGGTTTGGATCACACATCTGAAACTTCAGTTCTTACGTCTAAAGTACTTCGGTTTTCACATTCGAAAAACTTCGGTTCTCTTATCTGAAGTACTTCAGATGTAAGAACTGAAGTTTCAGATGTGTGATCCGAACCTCGACAGCTAGACCTAAAGTGTTCGGATGCTCAATCTGAAAACTTCCGAGATCCATATGACCTAAATTTCCGGTCCCACGCACGAGGTTTTTTTCTCCGTGTATACAACCGAGTACAAACAACATAGAACAACACAGCACATCAGGGTGTCTATAGCATCAGGATTTTCCCGATTTCCCCGATTCTGGCAGGATTTGAGGTCAATCAGGATTTAATCCCGATTCCATCAGGACTTGAGGAAAAATCAGTCGCAAAATCAGAATTTGAGAAAAGTCGGCTGCCCGATCGGGTTTTTTATGCTTTCACATACGCTTATGCAGAAATTTTAATTTTTCTCCGCAAAAAATCAGAATTTGACCAGGATTTGGAAAAATTATGAAATCAGAATTTAGCAGTCAACAATCAGAAAGAATTAGGATTTCATCAGAATTTTCTGAAATGAAAAAAAAAAAAAACCTAGATACCCTGTACACGACATTTTCACGAAACAGCTTGTCTGGTCTGCCGTGATAGCGAAGAGAGCAGTACCTAAGTGTAAAAATGAAGTTTTGAGAAATCGGAATCAGAAGTGTCCGACCGAAAAATTTTATCGAAAGAAGCCTCCGTTCTTTGTCAATTTGCCACTAATCGTCAGAAAGACTCCCAGAAGTAGTCTGGATGATTAAAAATCCACTGATTTTATTTCAATTAAATAAAGAGGGTATTTTTCATTTTCATGCTAGGTTATGGTCAGGCAAGACAGCTCTAAGTGCTATCTCCTGCATGCTTTCGTGGTTGCGTTTTGGACACACAAGAAACACATTTCCGGGTTAGAAATTGGCAGATGAGGGTGGCACTTTACTTGATTGCACTGTTTTCATTGGCTCTCTGGAGGAGTGATGTCATTTACGGCTGTTTCGCCTGAAGCCGTGTCATTTTTGCTCAGTTACGGCTTTCTCATATGTCTTGTTTTCATATAATTACAACAATTTTTCAAACAATTCAAGAATTTTGCAGAAATTTAACAGTGTTGTGATAAAAACCAGTACTGGTTAAATTCATCTGCATTCTGCAGTGGGCGACGTGACGCTGGAATTGGATTGAGTTGTTTTAGAGCAACAAGCAAAGCATGAATCACCAAGCGAATTTCAGTACAATGTCTGGATGCAACCACTCGAGCTCCACGGATGTCCGTGTTGCATAAGCGCAGAAATGAAGGCACCTAACTCTACAGGCACTCATCACTTCATCCGTAGCGCGCTGCCAGCGCGGAACGCGCACTGGCGCCTACAAACCTAACAGGGATACTTCACGCATTCCGCAATGCGTGAAGTATCCCTGTTGGGTTTGTAGGCGCCAATGGCGTATCACGCTGGTCGCCCGCGGCGCTGAGCGGATTTCCTTTTGATGTAAGCTTAAATCTGATTGAATCAAGAGTCCTTTTTCTTGTCAATGTTTTCAAGAGTCTGGACTCTAGATCCAATGTGTTTTTTTTCCAGTGTTTGCTGTAAACTGAAAGCATGATACGTTTTTATCCTCATTGCATATTATTTTTCTCCGTCTTATCACTCTGGAATGAATAATGGGCTTTAAAAAGTGAAAGTTCATTTACAATATTTATCAATCTTTATAGAAACGAATTTTACCAACTAAGTTTGTGCTGTGCGGCCTGTTCTTCTCGTAGTCGCTCATCAAATCCGAGTGAATCATTATCTCAGGCGAGTAGTCCGTTATGGGTGGTCGAAATTTTGGATATTTTTCTGAAACAGAGAGGCAACAATATTATTTCATTGTTTTTAATTTTCATGGAAGACGCTTCGAAACAAACATCTGAGTTCCGAAATGAACAACGCGGTTGTAACACATAAATCTGAGGATATCTATAACAGTTCTTTCCGTACTGAAATAAGCCGAAAAAATGTGTTGCTTTTTTCATTGATGCCACAAAAATACCATGCGTATTGCATGCATGACTGACTGTGCTTCCTTCCTACACTGGAAAAAAAGCACATTGGATCTGGAGTCTAGTACTCTTAAAAACATCGACAAGAAAAAATACTCTTGATTCAATCAGATTTAAGCTTAAATCAAGAACCAAGCCTCTTAATTTGAGCGGATTTCCTTTTGATTTAAGCTTAAATCTGCTTGAATCAAGAGTCCTTTTTCTTGTCAATGTTTTCAAGAGTCTGGACTCTAGATCCAATGTGTTTTTTTTTTCCAGTGTAAAAGAAGAAATACCCTTATGAACATTCGAGAGCTACCAAATTTCCCCCTGTCAAATGTTTATTTTTGATAAATGCTTATTTTTTCTTTAAATTTATAGAAACTTCACGATAAATTGTAGACAAAATAATTCGAAAAATTGGGGGGGGGGAATGTTACCAAATAAGTTTACCGGGAATTCGTGTTTTATCAAAGCTAATTTTGCAAAGTTTGAAAGCTTTTACGACGTTTTTCTTCAAAATAACAGATTCGAAATTTCCCTGAAAATTCGGATTAGCAATGGAAATTTCTCAACTCCTATAGGATCTTACAACGTTCTTCTCTGACATGGAATTGTTGGCTGTATATGCAAGTGATGGTTATCTTTCCTATTCACACGTTTAAGTCTCCATGTTAACACTCGGGGGAGATGTATAACTGTTACTAAAAAAGCAAATTTGGCAACGCCTGAAGTTTCACACGGCTTTCTGCCTTAGCACGGCAGCATCGGCTGTATGCTAGTGATGGTTAGGTTAGGTTAGGTTATTGAATATTAGCTATTATAATATTAATAATATTGTATCTTAGGTTATTATGAATTTTTACACAGCGTTCTCCTTAGCATGACAGTATTGGCAGTGTGCGAGTACTGGTTATTTTTTCTACTCACGCGTTTAAGTCTCCTCGTTTACACTCGGGAGATTTTGATGATGAATAGTACAAGTGGCGTGGCGTGCTTTTCGATAAATCGATTGATCTGCCATTTAAACATATGAAGAAGGGTCGAGAAACAGAATATTCGCAAAGAACTCCTTACTAATTGATTTTTTACCATAGCTTCAAATGGAGAGATATCGATAATATAATCGATCATTTGCACGCTTCGCTCCTGAATAGATCCTAAAATGTAGGGTGGGTGGAGACGACAGGTCACACTTTTCCGTTGCGGCCGTCTGTCAGCCGCCGCATCACATGGAAATTCTGGAAATGTGGTAAAATATCAGCTATAGACCCTTAGGCATGAAATGGCACACTTTCCAGAATTTTGAATGCATTTTCGAATTTTTAAAAAAAAATGTGTAAAAATTACGGAAATGCTTTTAAAATTCTGGAAAGTGTGTCATTTCGTGCCTAAGGGTCTGTAGTTGATATTTTACCACATTTCGGAAATTTTCATGCAATACGGCGGCCGACAGACGGCCGCAACGGAAAAGTGCGGCCTTTTACCCCCACCTACTCTAATGCGTAGCCGGCAAACAAAATAAAATCGTCCTTTTTGAAAATTAAAATGATTTTCTACCCAACATATTCAAAATCCAACGTAAAGCGCTCTTTACGGGAGTGTCCTTTTAAGAGGTAAAGATGCAGTTTTTAAAGAAATGCTATTTCATCACCTTCCGGCCAAAGTATCACAAGCGCCATGCGACGTTTCAAAATGTCCGCCGCCATTTTATTTTTTCACAGAGAAAGTGTTCAATGAGACCGTCCGAAAATTTCACTGAATTTTCTTTGTGCTGCTGATAAAATTCAGTGAAATTTTCCAACAGATCCAACTGATAATTTCTCTGTAAAAGTATAAAATGGCGGTGGAAATTTTGAGACGTCACGCTTGCACTGGAAAAAAAAACACATTGGATCTAGAGTCTAGACTCCTAAAAACATCAACAAGAAAAAGTACTCTTGATTCAACCAGATTTAAGCTTGAATCAAGAACCAAGTCTCTTAATTTGAGCGGATTTCCTTTTGATTTAAGCTTAAATCTGATTAAATTCAGAGTCCTTTTTCAATTCAATGTTTACAAGAGTCTGGACTCTAGGTCCAATGTGTTTTTTTCTCCAGTGTGTGGCCGGAAGGTGACAATTTATACACGAACATGTTTTTTTTTTTTTTTTTTTTTTTTTTTTTTTTTTTTTTTTTTTTTTTTTNTTTTTTTTTTCCACTTTCAAAAATCACTGACCGCTTAGCGTTTCTCTAATACGCTTAATAGAGAACCCCGCTTTGTTTTATTTCACAAAGTTGTTTGTCTTGGTCTTGAACTTGGGACGAAGTTCACACGTAACACCCCAGACTTCGAGCGCGCTCGCATAATCAAACACTGCAAATCGTCTAACTTGATTACTAGAGATCCGCGATAATCGTACTATGGGAAAATATGCCCCGTAACGATACATTCATAACCCTCCGGAGAAATGGACGTATTTATGGTAAAAGGAACTAAGTGCATATAGGGTTTGCGGGAGACATAGTTCCTTTTAGCATAAATACGTCCAAATGAAAATGTCTATAATCGCAGAGCGGGTGTGAACGCATAACTTTCGAGAGAGACCGTGCGTCCAGGAAAGAGCGAATGACTTAACATCAGCCATGCAGCGGGTGCACTGTCATCTTCTCATGGTAATGCATGGATCGATTCCAATTAGGCGGGATAATGGCTGGAAAGAGGCATGAGACGTTTCCCGTATTTACGAAGTTGCGTGTTTGGTTGCGCGTGGAACTGTAATGGAGATGTTGCAATGTGTAAGGGATTTGCGGTTTGACTGTTGTTTCTTAAGTAAAAGTTTGCGAGAAACACGATGGTGCCACTGGTTTTCTCTGAAATCATCTCCCAAGCTCAAAAACAGCTCTCAAGTTGAGGCCAAAATGGAGGGGATATCCCACCCTACCCTGAGAGTCCACCTCTACATCAAAACAAACTCTCCATGCAAAGATAGGGAGCAAAGTCATTGACAGGGTTGCCGTGTTTTCAGTTTTGGAGTCCCCCAAATAAAGTGGCAACCCTGTCAATGTATTTGCTCCCTATCTTTGCATGGAGAGTTTTTTTTATGTAGATGTGGACTCTCAGGGCAGGGTGGGATATCCCCTCCATTTTGGCTCAACTTGAGAGCTTTTTTTGAGCTTGGGAGTTGATTTCAGAGAAAACCAGTGGCACCATCGTGTTCCTCGCGAACTTTTACATAAGAATGGTCAAATCGCAAATCCCTCACACATGCAACATCCCCATTCTCGTTTGACATAAGGATTGGAACTTTGAGGCTTACTACACTGAAAAAAAAGTGCAGTTGATTTAACATTCTAGATGCAATAAAAGTGAGCGAGAACTTACAAGATGCTGAATTAACTCCTGCAGCAGTAATTTTAGCAATGTCAAGATGTAAAACTAACTGCCGTGGCAGGTAACTTAGCATTTTGTGAGTTCTCGCACACTTTTTTACATCCAGAATGTTAAATAAACTTTACTTTTTTTTCGGTGTAAGAGTGTTGAGAGTGATTTTCTTTGCGAAGAGTGGCACTTGTGTGTTACCTAGGTACTTGTGTGGACTGCGTTAAGAAGAAGGGAACCAAGCCACATCAGCTTTTGCTAAATTTAATTGGGAACTTTAATTTTTTACATAAAAATGTGTGTGCGGATTTATGTGAGAATAATTCTTACTAAAAATGACAGTCCTGAGTGTTTTAGCAAGAGAAAGGCGTATCTAACAAAATTTTTAAAAAAACTTGTTTCTCGGCCAATTTCTTTGACCCTTTTCATGTGACCAAAATCTTATTGATGTTCAAAAAAATTCAAGGAATTGTCGAGAAATTTTTCTTTCTTTCTTTGAAGTTAAATATAGGAACATTTATTCCAGAACACACGTATCCACGGCGCGGCGTAAGTTCGCAATCACATAACGACGGTGAAACTACCAAACCACGTATCTCGTTTGCGGTGTTTAAAAATCTACGCTCGCATTTTATTTTTTTGAAGTCGACCAAATCAATATCATTCCTTGAAATTTTCACAGAATTTTCTCCGCACAAAGAGGAAAAATCACAGAAATTTTCAAGACTAGACGTTAACTAGTTTTTCATTTAAAAAATAAAGTATGACAGGAAGTCTGCGACGTCGCAAACCGAGATACGTGGTTTGGTAGTTTCACCGTCGATAACTCGTTTGTGGTGTCTGAAAATCTCCTCCTTTATGTTATTTTTTCCGAGGAGAACAAATTGACATCATTCCTTGAAGTTTTTGCAGAATTTTGAGCTGAAGTTTGCAATAGGCTTATCTTACGGTCGTTTTCAATTCGCCTTCAGCTGCGTCTGCAGCAATTGTCGCTACGCATATGTTGTGCGCGCTGATTTTAGCTCACTACATACATGACTCTCTGAAGGCGTTTTACGTTCGTTACTTCGTTCGTTCTCCAACAGACTGCGCTACTTACGCTCATAAAACGCCTTCAGAGGGTCGAGTATGTAATGAGGTGAAATCAGTACGCACAACATATTCATAACAACAATTGCTGCAGACGCAATCGAAGGCAAATTGAAAACAACTGAATAATTCACGAGGAGAAACATTTTAGCGTTTATTGCCCGAGTGAAATCGCGGACCAATACGAATCGAATATTGCAGAGTTAGAACTCTGTTTCAAACTTCTCGCCAAGTTTGAAACGGGACCAACGAGACTGAGCGATTTGTCGATTTTGGATGCTTGAACAGAGGAAGTTTCATTTGCCTTGCCACATTTCCCTCTCTAATTTTCGCGCGTAATACGGTACACGAATCTAAGCTTAGGTTCAA